GTTTCGATGTCCAACAAACAAAAAGTGGAATTGCTCCAAAAAATGGATAAAGGCATGAAGAATGTGACAGAGAGGTTAGTGAAAACGAAAAATTTCAATTGACAAGTTAGTCGGTATTCTCGGCACAGCAATTAACGGGACTTGAACAGCGGAACTTTGTAATCGAACAAGAAATTATGTCTGTTTATAGAATTAAAGAGAAAGTATTATCACATAAAACGAAGCAACTTAAACAACTTGCATTGAAAGAAATGTTTAATAAAGTAAATAAATAAATATTAAGCTTTTTTTTGTAAATTTTGATACCCTTTAGATCATAATTGTTCTTTATTTCATAAATTACGGTTTCATATTTTTAATTTTAGAATTTCTGCATGCCATCTTACGAGATTTAAACTGATGATCTATAATCCGGAATCGCCGAAGTCCCGACGAGTCCGGATTAACGACTTTTGACTGTATAGAATTCTTAAGGCATTGCCATTTTAAAAATGACTTTTCCCATATGCGAATTAGCTTTGCAAAAAAAAAAATTAGTCACTAACAATTTCACAACTTTTCAATTATGTTGTGGATAATCAGAAAGTACTGGAATTTTTATGGCCTGTATCCATGTGGTCAAAATGGTTTTCAGTGGATTAAAATCCAAAATGTTGATGTAATTTCATCTCAGTGTTAAGAATATTAATCATTTTTCATCTTCCTTTTAACCTCAATATCATGATTTTTATGACTTATTAATTTCTATCATTCTATTTTGACTATTATTAATTTTTGACTTTTTAAAATTTATTATTGTTTCTCATTTTTATAAACTATTTATTTATTTATCATTAATATAACGCATCATTAACACTTCTAGCCTTTTTTTTTTTTAATTATTTGTGTATCCATTATTTTATTCATTTTTTTTTTTTTTTTTAACCATTCCTGATTTCTTTCCGAAAAGCTTCAACATTTCTTATTTTAGAAATTAACTTCTGGCTGTAATTTTAAAACAGGTTTTGGTGCTTTTCATATACAAGTGATCAAGAAAAAACATTCACTTAATACAAAATTCTGTGAAACTTTATTAAAATGCTGTGAGAAGCAATAAAATTTTAACGATTGATAAATAATGTGCATTTTGCTCTCAAAACAAGAGCAGCCATTTAGCCATGATCAGTCTGCCGGTCCACAAATTATATACAACTGATATAAATTTGAATAAGAGGGGAAAAAGTGTGAATATTTCTTATTGTTCAGAGTTTAGCATTAATATTTTTTTTATATTCAGGGGGGATTTTATAAATTGCAGTTTAAAATTTCATATGAACACCCTAAAAAGGAAATAGTAATTTCTCAGCTTTTTTCAAAAGCCAGTCAGATGTTACATATACATACAAAATAAATAAATAAATAGGATTTTTTCCAAAATAAAATGTGCATTGAAGTGCTATTTTATCATTGTATTTGAATCCCTTTTGATCGATTGGAGTAGAGTTTTAACAGAAATTATTGCTGGACTGGAATAGAGTTATAATTGAAATCATTTTCGTAATAGAGATTTAACAGAAGTCATTTTGGAATAGAGTTTTAACAGAAGTCATTGTTGTCTCGGGATTAATGTATTTGTCAGTATCTTCTTCTCTTGTACTTTCAGTATACTCTCTGCCTCTTGAACATACATGAAATGATATTCGCATCACTCAACGTTGAAAGTCCATCTTGATTGATTTACCATCAAACCATTTCTCAATGAATTCCTGATCTTCCTAAACTTGAGTTATTACTTCAACTTCTTCGCAATTAGGCAAATATCTGATTTTTATATTAAGCAGAATCTTTCTGTATGCTCAGACTTGTGTTTATTTTTTTTATACACTCTTGCACGCAGCATTGAGTGTACATGTGTAGGCATTGCCGTGCAAGGATAACCTGCACACAGACAATCGAGAGTATACTATGTAACCCAAGCAAATATCCAAATAGCCGGATTCTTATAATAATGAGTTTGAATTTAGAGAAATCTTCTTGCTTTAATTTTCTCAAAATTTTGTTAAACGTAAAACTAATCCAGAGAATTATTTGAGTTGAAGGCTCTGTATTTTCTCCTTGAGATAAAAAATAAACTTGTATGTGAATTTATACATTATATAAATATTCAGAGTTAAATTTGCTTTACTAATTTTGCCAATATCAGCATCAACTATACTAGAGTCAATTTTTATTAGCATTAAAATGAATGAATGGTGATTAGTTGATTACAGTATAACACTATAAACATAAACTAAGCTAACTCTAATTATGGCTTTTCAGTGTAAATTATTTGTGTAATCAAACTTAAAAAATTTTTAATCTAGTGAATTTCAATTTGTACTTAAATTTCATTCATCTATATCTGATGTAGTATATAATACTGATATGCAAGTACCCTTGACAACTTTCTAGTAAGTTTAAAGGAAAAAAATTATGTAAAGCAGCATGCTCTTAATGAAAATTCAAGATATGCCCAAGTATATCCCTTTTGTCAAGTAAATACAAGTCAGCTTGTGGATTTGATGAATAAGTGAAATCGAAACTGATAAGCCAGAGCATTTCATAAGTGAAATAAATGCTTATTTTGCTCTTAAAAGAAACAGCATATTTATTTTTACAGTTTTCATTCTTTTTGCAACATGTTACTTATTTTACATAAAAAATATAACAAACTTTTAAGAAATAAAGCTTACGCAACGCTTATCAAGGAACGCTCGAAGTAATGACGTTTTTAGCTCGACTCATTGTTGCCACACGGCGAATCTTAATAACTATTCAAAACATTACATCATGTTGCCACTTAGGAAATCTTAATAATTATATGGAAACATTAAATTATGCTCCACTACAAGCTGACCGTAGAAATTATAGGCTGATTTTATTTATAAGCAGATAAAAATAATGCTATATGAAATAATTTAGAGAAAAAGATCTAAAAATATGGTATACGCCATCTGAAATTTCTACTGTTAAAGGCGACCAGTGGCCAAGTAGTAAAATCACTGAACATTAGTAGTTTGGTCTATGGTTTGAATCCTGGCGAATGGGCTGACTGCATTGGTATTTTCGTGGTTTTTCCCATCTGTAACCATTTTTCCTTAGAAAGTCCTCCATGAAGGCATCCCTTCCCTTAGGCAGATAGCCCTCTAGTGCTTTGCCATAATTAAATAAACCAAAAATCATTCTTCTGTAAAAGTTTTAGTACCTTCTCATTTTCTCGATTCATTAGCAACTTTCCAGAAAACAGGATTCTTTCTACCATAGGGTACTCCTAAGAGAGATTCAGAATTTTTCACCAAACTTATATGCCAAAAGCAAGAATCATTTTCCAAAATAGCAGCACACTAAGAATTTCATAAAAGAGCAAACGGTCAATAAAATTTAAAAATCCAGGAACATCAGTAAAGAAATGCTTACCTTTTTTTGAGAAATCCATCTGTAATTTTTTGCAGTGGCATTCTTCCCATATACACAGCAGTCTGTTTTTACTTGGGGGGGGGAATGAGTATCACACAAACTTGGCATTGTGCAGTGGCCAAAACAGATATTATGCTATGTGCAACAGGTTGCCAGATAAATACTTTTTGCCATCATACTACATTGATTCATGGATACTTTTCCACATGTTTTCGATATGAGTGCAGACAATCAAAAAGCACCTAAGTTTCTTGCTAATGGTGATATGCTTATAATTCAAAACAAATATAGTTTGCAGTTTTGCACCTGCAAAAAGGGAAGGTGACATACAGATGAGATGTATACAGAAGTTGAACTCCTACCCTAAAGTCACTAACCAAGCTGGCAGGACAGTTACTCTGCACCATACACAGTAGCCCACTTCATCAGGTTTTGAACTGAAGAATTGTTTGATTTAGTCTATAACAGATAATTTTGTTTGGATATTTTAGTAATTTATGTAAGTAGTGCATAAAACCTAATGTGGGAATTGAAATTTGTAAGAAATGCATCTAAAATCTTAGGTCTTATTTTGAATGATCATATTACAATGATGCAAAGATATAAAATTCATAATGTAGAAGATTTGTGTAGTTGTTAACTACACTCTTAGACAAAAAAACAACACACCATGATGCACCGAGAAGATATAAAGCAAATTGGACACAAATTGATATGCATACAGGTTTCGACGAAAAATGCAAAATTTGACATTTTGGCTGCCAATGAATGAACGGTTGTCGCTACAGCGCATCTGATCTGTGTGTGCAATTGGCAGAATATTTAGGAGGAGAAATTACAATTCCAGGTCATAAATTCTTCACAAATTTCATTCTGTGTACTCTGGTAGACAGTAATTATGCCTCGCATATAGGTGCGTGAACAATATGCGCAGATGTCAGAATTTAAGGTCGTGTAGTTGGGCTCAAAGAAGCCAGTTGGTCTTATCGGCGAATAGCTGGACATTTGAGCAGGAGCGATGCCACTATTAGACAGTGTTGGCAGGAATGGGTGAACTATGGCTGCACACAGCGTCAAGAAGGAAGCGGTAGGCTAGAGAAATGATAGAATGTGAAGACCGAGCAATCGTCAGAGCAGCACTCATAGCTCCAGATGCATCATTATCATCGATTGTACGTGGAACTAGTGCGATGTTGACGATCTAACGCGCCAGTTGGACAGAATTTGATACGATATCCCTCAGGAGGAGGTCCGCAACCTCTATCAATCGATGCCAAGCCGAATAACTGCTTGCATAAGGGTCAGATGTAAACAAACGCGTTACTGACTTTTTCACTTTGTGAAGCTCTATCACTTCAAAAAATTATCCAATTTTTCTCAAACTGTAATCATTTGTTTTTCTGTACATGTACATCACTTCTACCGATTTTCGTCCCATTCGGATAACTCCTTCTTGGTGCATCTCTCTTTTTTTTTTTTTTTCTAAGAGTGTATATATATATATATATATATATTACTTTTGTATTTTTATGTTTTGAATCTGATAATTTTTATATGTATTTTAGAAAAATCCATATCAAGGAATTTCTCTTGGTGAAGATGCCCTAAGTTTAACACAACGTGCAGAGACAAATATTCAGATCATGCCTCTTCAAGGTGTTCCATTTGTAATTAATGCCAATTTATATGCTTCTGCAAAATTAGATCAAATATGGCAGAGTATTGCTCCAAGTATAGCTAATATTGGACATTCAAGTCCCTATAAGGAAGATTATGATTTCTCGTTAGAAAAGTCTGTTATTTCTGAAACAGCCCATAAGTAATATACTACTAAACAGCTAAAAAACACAAGCTGCAATAAAATATAAATTCTATCTCTCATTTGGTTTTGTTTTCTTGTTTTTATTATCAAAAGAAGTAAAACTAAATGAACGAATTGACGAATAACTAATGAAGTCGTTAGATTGTTTGTTATATGCATCTCCCTAAGCAGTCTGAATTAGCTACTGATAGATAATTTTTCTGAGTTCTTGGTGCAATTTGAAATAATCACATTTTAGCAGTTAGATCAGTTGAGGATTGATTTTTTTAAAATTATTGATTAGTTATTTTATTATCGGATATATTTTTATAGGTTCTGCTTATAGTAATTTGCTTTTGCTTTCAAATATAAAAATGTATGAAACAAGCTTTTAAGGCGAATTTTCATAAATTTTATTATATTATACAGCAATTAAGGAATTGAACTCTTTAGTGATTCTGACTTACTCATTTTTTTTTTTTTTTTTTTTAGTATTCTAGTTTTAAAGATTATTATTACAAAAATGAGCAACATTTCCTCCCTCATGTGTGAAATTTTTTTAATAATTTTTATCATGTATTAATATTTCTCTTATGTAAATTTCAGAATGAACACAAACAAGTTTTTAAGGTACTTATGCATTATCCAATCGACCGGCCGAGTTGTGTGATACGGCAGCAATTATGGATAATTCTTGTCATTTAGAATTCTGTAATAACAATTGCTGACCATTGTCAAAATTTCCACCAACGCCCGATGGGATTTTACATAAGTATCGTTTTTACTAACATAGATGAACTTCACAACTATATCTTAATTATATTATCTGATCTCTAGTTTACATTTCAGTATTTCAAAAGTTAATAAGTTTTACCTCATCTGTCCAACCAGTTTATATTTATGTATACATTTTAATTTAGTAGGTATTCAGTGTGCTGTTTGTCACCATTAGTGATTTTGTGAAATTATATAGAACTGAATAGAGCTGTATGAAGGCTTTAATTTAATTATTATATAGAGTTTTATAATTTGTTTGTTTGGGAAATCTTGTATGCATTCAATTTATATTTCACATTTTTGTTATTTAATATGTATACAATGAAAAATGTTTTTAGGACAAGGCAGTGGTGACCCAGAAATGAGGGCGGAGAATGTACATTTAAGTTTTAAATATAGTACACATTTATAAATAACAAATCAATCATTATTATTAGATTAATTCTAGATTTTAATTGTAATTTCTAGATTTTTTTCATTTCTTTATGCTAAAAAATACAGTAGACTCGGAATAAACTGGCATTCGTCTAAAAAAAAGGTTAAGTTTATTTATTATGGAATAATGGGAAAATCATTATCACAAACCATCAGAATAAAACAAAATTAGTATGGAAAATTCAAGGAGTAATGTCGCAGATGATATCACAACATTTATGGATTTGTTTTTGTTTGGTTTATTTGATTATGGCAAAACACATGAGAGCTATCTGCCTAAAGATAGGAATGAATGCCTTCATGGATGTCTTCAATGGAAACTGCCTCATATCAATGTTACACATGAGAAACCATGAAAATGCCCATGCAACCTCTTCACTTGCAATTGAATCCAAGTAAAATGACCAATGTTTAGTGACACTGTTGCTCGACCATTATTGGCTACAACATTTATGGATTGTTTTTATTCACAACATTATGTAATTTAATTGTTCATATTCTGTAATATATTTCATATCATCGATTAAAAATAAATAATGTGTACTGCCATTTATCTTTTGTTTTCCAACAACTTCTGTTGCAATAAAAGAGTAGTATAACGAAAACATTCTTTCTTCTGTTTTGAATACTGATTTAATGTACATAACCAAATGAACTTACTCTGTAAATAAAACTGCTTGAAAATGATACAAAATTTTAATAGTATTTTTCTGTTGATAATGTGGATTATTCCATGTTTTTAACTGCTGCAGGCTTTATCCTGATTTGAGGTTACTGAAGACCTCATGCTGGTATAACCCCAGTTAATTAAGAGTTTACTGTAATTGAAATTCTTGGTTATTTACTGAATTTCCATGCAAGAGCATTGATGAAAATATGGCTTAGTCTTACAGGTCTTTTGAAAAGATATTTATGTACAGTAACAGCAAAACTTTATATATTTTTATATATATATGACCTAATCTAACTGTTATGTTATTATGTGTGTAGTGGATCAGCTAAAAATTGGGTTTGTAATATAACTAGAAATTAAAATATTTATTTTCTTTTATTGAATATGGAGCATTAACAAGCTAACTGTAAATAAATATGAATGAAGAGAAAGGGAACTAAAATTAAAAAAAAAAAAAAAAAAAAAAAATACTGATATAATTAATAAGTTTGTAAGATTCTCGCTATTGTAATTCTCAGTTACTGTAGAAAGTGACGAATCTTAAGATCAAGTTAGCAAATAATCGCTTAAGTTTGTGTTACAAGAAACAACAAGATGGAAGGGTAACTAACCCTTTATTATTCCAATAAAATTTAATTACCAAGAAATAAACTAAAACTAAGATTAACTAAAGAGATATAGCCGAAGCTATCAAGATTCTAAACGAATTGGCCTCTTAAATCTGTTTGACTATCAAGGGCCTAAGTACGGCCGAGCGTAATAATAGCTTTAAGAGAGAGAGTAGCCAAAAGGCAGACGTGCACAAATCAGAAACTCTGATTTTCTCTAACTCAGCAAGTAGACTTTGCGGTTTAAATACCGCTCCTCCTCATTAAGTATTCAGAGTGATTCCAAAACTACGTTCTGGCCGGAAGTAGTAAGTTGAAGTTTAGAATTTCACAGGAAAGAAGTTTAACTCAAAATTTAACTGTTAATAAAATTAACATAATCCTTACAAGTTGTAATTAAATATAGGGTAATGATAGTGAAAAAATAAATAAAATGTAAGTTATAAGTAATGTTTATTTTAAAATATTTACAAAATAAAAGTTTATGTACTTTTTGATATATTGGTGGTCATTTCTGTAAAACGTGTGCTTCATATATGTTACATGTGCATTAAAAATATATTTCATTATGCATGTAAAATCTAAAGATGTTATATGATTTTCAAAATAAAAATAAAGTAGTTCTTGTATAATATTGCTGGAAATGTGTATATCAAGTAAGAAAAGGGGCTTGCATTCTTCATGTTTCAAAAGTACCACTTTAGCAATAGATTAGATTTATGCATAGAGTTGTTCTATTATATATGTTTTGACACTTGACACATAATTGGACTTTCTTTTAAATGGCATTTTAATTATTTCCCATATTTCGATTCTGAGCTTCAGATTGTACCAAAATGGTTAAGTTTTCCAAAAATCACTTGTTTTTTTAAAAAAAAAAAACTTTACCACTGAGAATTTTAACCATGCTGTGTTATCTAAATCTGGTGTATCTCGTATTGCTGTTATAATTATTTTATACAAATAAAATTCACGTCCCTTGTTTCGATTTATTTTAAAATATTTTTTATAAATTTTCAACATTATCTTAAAGTAGGTGTATTTCTAAGCATATCTGGAAAATATTCTCCTTTTTTGTTATTCAAAACATTCGAAGATATAGTTACACGGAACTTCAGAATTTCACCATTTTTTTCACAGGTGTAGTCGCATCATACTAAGTATGCAGTTCCACTCTAATTATGAGGGAAAACACCCCTCTTCTGCTACCACCAACCTCTCGAGAGAACTTTTGGCATGCTTAGTATTTGAGAGCCCCTTGCAACATAGACACTAAGTGCTTACAGACATCCATGCTTTTTCCAGGATTTGAACCTGCCCTGTTGACTTGAAATTCTACTTGGTGTGGTGTATACAATAATGACGGAAAAGATGCTGTTTCATTATAAATGCTGATAAAAGAGCAAAATATTCAGGAATTTAAAATTTGACAGTAAGTAAAAGGAAAAATAATTCCAAGGATTTACAGTATGATTGTTACTGACCAAAAAGTGTACAAAAGCAATGTAATAAGTTCTATTTAGTCCCTACAATACTAGTTGCATTGCTCAACACCTTATATATTGCATGGAGCCACTCTTCTCCACTTTGTCACTGTGTATCATATTAAATGATTAACTATAAATCATATATTACATTACAGATGTGTGTTTCAAACTTTTGTAGTTGCGTATTTTAGATATTTTCCTTTGAGGTTCATAGGTGTGGTGTCCATTATTGAGATTTATCTGAGATGCAAATAATAGCATTAAATTTTTTACGATTCAAGCATGCATATCAGAAGTATTAACTTATTAAATTTTTTTTTACTCCATTTTCCATAGAAGTGAGCAAAACATGACATAAATAAAGTAAATTTACCATTTGGAATTTTTTGACAAACAGTTTACAAGCCAAACATTGGTATACAAATGTCCCAACCATAGTTAATGGTGGGATACACATGTCCCACATATAGCAATCGACTTACTGTAAGCACACTTATTATTCTGGAAAACTTTATTATATGAAATAGATTTACATCGTATGGTACAGGTAAAGTATTCTTTTAATAAACCAACATTACACATTTGGCAACTTGTATTTGTTGTTTTCTTTCATTTGTGTACAATGAGCACAGCGGCATCTTGATTTTACAATTATTGGAAGGTGATCCCCAACATTCAGAAGATTCTCCTGAATGAATTTTGATTATCTCCTTCTCCTTTTTAAACTTTTAGTGGGACATATGTGTCCCATTAGTAGTCAAAGGGTTAAAGTATGATGAGTCCCGATTAAGTTGCAATGCATAGTTCTCTCTCTCTTCAGCCCCAATTGTAACATTCAAATCAATTTGAGCATGGAGTTTTGTTTATAGAAAGCTGTCTCTCTTTGCCCCCGATTGTAACATTCAAATCAATTTGAGCATGAAGTTTTTGTGCATGAAGAAAGTTGTTAAATATAAAATGTTGTTTATATAAACATGATTAAAGTGGTTAAAAAGTACATCTTCATAAAAGTGAAATGACTTCAATAATAATTCTGATTTGGTGTTTGCCTCAAACACATCAAGGATGAAGCCTCCATTCTGGTAAGAGACAGGCTTATTAGTAATAAAAAATTCAGAATAGTGATCCATTCTTGTAGAAAAGAATAGGTATAAAATATGATAATATTTAAAACGTGGATTTTCATTCAGAGGAGATGAAAACAGCTTCAGTCTTGTGTAACATGCAGGGATGTTGGAAGTATAAAACCTTTGTTATTGTTTTGGTCTTTCAAAACCAAACATCCCAGGCAGAAACATGAAAAGAGTGACAAAATGTTTGTTGTCATTTACAAACTGTGAATTTGTGGAAAGAGCATTATCTATCTTGCATGTAGGTGAAAGATAATTACCATAATGCTGCTTTTTTTTAAGCCTTTATCTCCAGATTTGATCTTCACTTATTGAACTCAACGATATAATGTCAGGGATCACATCTATAATGAGGCTTGAAAGTAGTTCAAAACTGGTTTACTCAGATTAATTTTTTGAAACAATTTTTTTTTTTTTTTAAATATTATGTCGTATTTAACTTAAGTGTAAAGGCTGAAAGCATTTTTTACAAATCAACTCTTAACTTTGATCTGATTGAAGTTATTAATTCACTTTAAACTATTGTATATTTATTATGTTATATACTGTAGTATTTTATTGTGGTACAACACCATTTCAAGAATGCTTAATGTTTTTAATATAAGCCTAAGACTCAAGAATTAATTTCTAAAATTCAATGTGCATGAATGCTATGAGAGGCCATCATAAACGGCAAAGAAAAATAAATTCTAATAAAAATAAATCAATAAATAATAAACTAAAAGCAAAATGATAAAAAATATCTTAAAATTTGTTAAAGTTTTTAACGCTCTCGCCTAGCTTGCAGTCTGTCAGTGTGCTGTTGTAGTCACTGTTGCTAACCCTTTTTTTTTTGAGGGGTGTGTATTATTTAGCAAAATTTTCTTTCCACTTGTATACAATTCAACAGCAGCATTTTCTACTTTTTTTAATCTTTTCTCATTTTATCATATCAATGTTCAGTTTTCTTCAATTAAGATAGCTTACAAAACTTTTTTATTATAAACATTTTGTGTGTTGACTTCATTTATTAAATATCAGTTCTTCGCACTTATGTCGCATAAAATTAATTTAAATTTTCATTTTATTTTAGGAAATGTTTTTTAAAAGATTCAACATTACTGTATTCTTCAGCTTCACATAAATAAGACATGTACCACAAACAGGGGGGAATCAATAATTTAGTGTTAATTAACCGTTATGCTCTGTCACAGGAAACCGATTAGTAGCTCGTTACAATTTCAGGAATAATAGAAAAAAATGTGCCGTTTCTCATTTCTCTTAAGGGTTTAAAAGTACTAAAGAGTTATATTGAACTTCGAAGGGGGGGATGTTGAATCAACATAGTTAGTTATCAGTATACAACTGCATAGTGTAATAATTACCGCTAAACTGCTCAATTATTGAAGTGCAGTTATTACATTTCTAAGCAGACGTATAAACAGCACTTTAAGCAGGTGCAAAACAAAATGATGGGTTGATAAAACTGTATCAGATAGAAGTTGGGTAAAATAAGTTTTTACACATTTTTTCTTCAAGTACTTCAAGCCCATCACTGAAAAAATTAAGGAAAGGACCTATCAAACAAATAGAAACTGAATAAACTAACAAAATTATCTACATCCGAAATTAACTTCTTTAATTTTTAAAAACAGAATAAATCTGTAAGTGGGATGCATTATTATTAAACTTAATTTAATATTTAACTTAATTATAAAACAAATTCAAGAATAAAATTAACTTCATTAATTTTTTTCAAGTAATTAGAATTAAATTACAAAATTTCTTGCAGTATTTATGTTTTACACATATAACAATTCCACATATTTAAAAAAAGATTAGTGGATTTTTATTTAAATTTTTACTAACAATTAGCTTTGTACTGAAAATAAACATGAAATGATATAATGTCAAAGCCAGTGTGTCAGAATTTTTAGAAATAATTGAAACACGGGCAGGCACTGAGAATGTATGGTGCATATTGATAACGCATATGATGAATCATTTTAATATATTGGTGTTCTGTTTCTTTGTTTTCAGTTCATCTGTGCAGCAAAGCGAAGGAAGAACTGGACAGAAAATCGTCATTTTTCTTCGCAAAAATGACACAAGAACATTCTTGTTCCGAAAATTCATTTGTAAGGCGCAATAAATCTTTTAATAATATTCTTTTGTTATAGGAGATTGTCTACTCTTATTTTCTTTAATTATATCATGCATTAAGCACACACGACCACCAAAAGTGGTGACCTTTTGACTGAGCA